TCACGTATCATATGTACGTGTAATCATTGATCTCATAATCACATGTTTCTTCTCTTCTGTCACATACCACATGTATGTGTAAACATATATCTAATATCATATCATCTACCTTATTCTGTATTTTTTAGTATACACTTACATTACCTAACCTACATTATACTTATAAACCTGAATATATTACTTCTATTATTTCTTTTATGTACAATTTAATCTATTTACTTAATTCAATTCCGTACAACTCCTATAATCATTTCATATCACTCCATAGCTTCTATTATACAACTAATGTATCATAATTTTATTTAAGCATATGAATCTTTCTCCTCTATCTTATCTTATATGCTCATAGTATCACTGAAGTTCAAGTCTCCTAGTTAATATATTATTTATGTAACATTTGCTTACTTAGTTCATATCCTTTCTCATAAACTCACTTTTACCATATTCTCATATTATTACTTAAATTATCTCATAACATGTATTCACGTAGTAACATTTCATTTATATATATATATATCAAAGATCTTATCACATAACTTATCTTTTATATTCATATAATTTATTATCATATCATATGGTTTATATCATCATAACAGATCACATATTCACATCAACCATATAATACATATATACAATAACATGTCAACACATATAAATCATACACATATATACTTCTATTTATGAATTCATGCATTTTATTATGGAAATAGACTTGTCGCAAGTCTTATTTCCATTTAACATCATATAATACTAATATGCACTCACCTGGCCTCACTAGTCCATTCCAATCTCTTATCTTCCCTTTTTATCGATCTTACTTGTCAATGATTCCGGAACTCGTTTAGGCTCTGAATCTACATAATTATACATTTTAAGACAATTATTAGATACCTACACCTTGTAATTTGATACTAGCAACTTAAACGAGCTTATTAAACCAATATTTACAATTTTCCTTTAGGGGGTATCGATTCCCTACTCGGGGTATCGATACCCTCATGACATTCTGGAATTCTGTCGTTTGAGAGGGTATCGATTCCCCTTGAATGGGTATCGATTCCCCTAGCCCATAAATCCTATTTTGAGCTCGAAATTCACTTCATTTCAGCTTAAACCTTCATATTTTACTTCCTTTAATATTCCTAACTTCCATACACATATTTAAACTCATTTCTATTCCATAATCATTTCTTTAAACCCAAAATTCCATCATTTACATGGCATTCAAGAACCATATTAAATTTTCAATGTGTTCTAATTCCAATTCTAACACTTCATACTTCTTAATTAGATTGATGACAAGTCAAATTCATCCATAAAACTTCAACAACCATACCATATCAAAATTCCATCTTAAAACTCATATTGCAAATTCCTTCTTAATTCCTTTATCTTATTGTTTAAATCCCATATAAGCTTTCCTTAAGCTTATTTAATACCCAAAGAATCAAAATCCACTTAATATTTACAGTAATTAACTATAAAAACCCAACTTACCTATTGTAGCTAAGCCCCACGTGAAGAAGAGAAAGCAAGAAGAAGAAAGCTTCCAGATAGCTCTCTTCCCACGTTTTTTTCCACGCTTGTAAAAGGAAAAAAAATATCTTTTAAAGGAAAAAGACCATAATACCCTTAATTTCCTTTAATAATTACTAAATAATCTTCATCATATATTTCCAATAATCATTGAATTATTTCATTCTTCTACTTTAGTCACCAAATTCTGAAACTTTTCAATTTAGTCACTAACCCGGTATTGCGGATGTTACAAGTCTGCCCATCATCTGTTTATTTTTTGTTCACTTACTACTGAGATTTGGAATACTTTTTTCAGCTTTTGGGATATCTGTACAGTTATGTCTTCTGATCTTCCATCATTCATTACTTCTTGGCCTGATTTGATGGCCAATTCTGTGATCTGGAAACTTATCCCGAGTGTTGTTCTTTGGTCTATTTGGAAACATAGGAATTCAATTGTTTTCGACGATAAAGTTCTTGACAAGTCTTCTCTCTTCTTTATTGTAAGATTTAGATTAGTTAAGTGGTTTCTTGCCAAGTTTCAACAAGTTTCGATCTCAGTTGACTTATTAATGGCGGATCCTACTTTAGCAGATGGTTTTAAGTGCTCAAAGGTAAAGAATAGAGCAGTTCAAAAACGGCTTTCTCCTCCTACGGATTTCTACAAATTCAATGTTGATGGTGCTGTCACAAAGGATGGGTTGGCTGGTGGCATTGGGGGAATTCTTACAGATTCAAATGGTTCCACTTTGACGTTGTTTTCAGAATGTGTTGGATCTGGTCCTCCTCCTTTGGCAGAATTGAAGGCAATTAGGAAAGCAACTGAAATTTTCTTTTCCTCGGTTTGGTCTAATAAAGGAATATTGATTCTGGAAACTGACTGCAAAACAGTTGTTGATTGGATTCACTCGCCTTCTTCGGCACCTGTGTATTTTAGTAATTTAATTAAGGATATTGAGTTTTTTGTATTGTCTAGGGTGTTGATAGTTAAGTTAATTCCTAGAGGTTGTAATTGGGGGGCCGATAAGTTAGCTAAAGAAGGGGTTGGTTGACTGGTTAGTTTTATTGAGGATGTTTTTTGGTATTCTTAGGGGATAGTCTTATCTATTGTAATTCGAATGCATTTTGGCGTACGAATTTTATATCAATAAAATGAGGTACTCTTTTCCTCCTTTCACTGGTTGTTCCTTACCTCTCGGAAAGGATCAATTATGAAGGGGGGTTTTTAATGAGACCTCCAACTTTTATCAAAAAAAAAAAGTTTATCCTAGATGATATGGAGTTTCAGTCTGGAGATATACCGAATTATACTACCTCTGATGGATCGGTATGCTTAAGTTAAGGCAAAGTAATTTTTAATTTTCTGACGTGAGAATGACTTCTGACCTTTTTGTTTATATTTTTACAGGTTAAGATTCAAAAGGACAGTGAAGTTCGCTTGAAGATAATTGGAACTCGAGTAGATGCTACCGAAATAGTATGAACTTGACCCTTTCTTCTTCTTCATTATTATCTTCACCCATATTTCCTGAACTTATTTGTGCCATGAATCGCATTCTTAACATGTTAAGGGCTTTAGTTGATAAGATATACTTAGAGATGTAGATGCAAGCTAATGTAGAGTCTTTTAAGCTCGCTCAGAATTGGTAGCTACAATGCTTGGACTCTTCAAGAATCTTTCAAATGCATGGAACTTTTTTTAAAAAAGTTGGATATACTGCACCATACTAGTTTCTAGCAGTCACACTTGGATTAAGATAACATTTACCGGTGTCATATATCAGTTGCATTTATTATGGTACTATGGAAAGTTATGCACTTAAGTGTACATTGAGATTTTTTTATATTTCCTTTGTGATTATTGCTCATTATTCTTCTGCATGGTCTGAAACCGGGTAAATCACGTGTCTGTGCCTTGGGGTCAAAGATAAACCGATTTCAGTTCTATATTTGAACATGTAGGCAGCTATGTGTGCCAGTATTTTGTGTGCACATTTGTTAAAATTTCTTTAGATTTTGTCACATTCATCCGAGACTTTCTGACCAGAGTTGAGTCTTTGCATATATTTGAAGAACCATATCCTGATATCATTTTACAGTGGTGACTATTAAGATTGATGTTTTTTGTTTTTGTTTTGCAGTTCTGTATTGGAACCATAAAGGACGATTTCTTGGGTGTGATTAATGATCCCACCACAGCTTAATCCGATGTTGGATAATCTCAGATCATAAGACCGTTTCTATAACAGTGGTTGATGCCGGAAAAGCTTCAAATTTTCATTTTCTCTGTAAACATGGGTTTAATTGTATTTAATTTCAAGTGTAATCTTTGAATGCCTCCATTAAGTTGGTCTACAGAGCCTGTAATGTCTGAGATTAAAGTTATCTGCTCATTGAGATACAGTTTTTTCTTCTTCTCTAATCGGGTCTCATTTGACACCCCTGGGATCCGTGAGTGGTTGGTCTGATGCAGAATGATTAACCTGAATGAGACCCTCCGTGTCTTATACACCTATTGTGAAGTTGGTCCAAATGGACAGATAAATAGAAGAAAATCAGTGGATAATTTGGGTAGATTGTCCTTTTAAACAAACTCAAATCAACTCACCGAATGTTACCAAATATAGATTATAGTTTGAAGGTGTAGGGTTGATGTTTCATTTTCAAATTCCAAGATCATAACATTCCTCTAATGAAACAGTTTTCCAAACCGGTAGATGATTAGGAATTGTAATAAATCAGTATGTACGAGATTAAGTCAAACAAAAAGGCTATAGCATAAATGTACAAAGATGATTCATCTGCAGACTAATGCCCCTCTTTGCTTTGAGTGATTCAAGGGCTTTCTTCCTTAACTCCACTTCAAGTTTCTACTCGCTTCATCCTCATCATGTTGGCCTTTCATTTTAAGCTGCTGAGCATGCTGTTCTCTTCTGTGACATGAAGTTTCTACTAAGTGGTGTTGATCACCATACCATGTTATTTCCAAGGGAACGACTTAATATCATCACTTCTTTTTCCATTTATCAGGTGTGAAGCTCTTTGCTTCCTGTCTTCACAGCCAGATTGATTCCTCACAGGAGAGTTACTAGGGGATAGAGATATGGATAATAGTATTAAAAGATAAACAAACACAAAAACAATTTTATTCGTTCAAGTTCAATTCATTTATGCCCCTGTTAATACTGGAGTAAGAACATCATAGATTCGAAACAAAGAATTTCAAACGAGGTAAAAGGATTGATTAAGTGTAATTGTCCATTATAGGATCACGACAAAAGAGATGGACGTTGATAGTTAATGAGATGAGTTTGTTGTATGATCCTATAGTGAACATTAAACTGGTAGGGAATTGAAATGGTCGGATTACAAATAAACTAGCTTGGAACTAGCCCCGCCATGCAACGGTCAATCACCACCATGCTGCTATCTGCTACCAGTTCATCAACAAAATAAAATCAAATTGTTTGAGAGGGAAATAGTCAAGAGAAAAGGCTTCTTTTTATTTCTACTATTACTCCAAGAACAAATATCAATCAATATTTCGTATATAGAAGGATCTTGTTGAGTGTCGGAAATATTCGGATGCTATACTGTAATTCACTTCCCAGCATGGTAAGCTTGCAGAACAGCTCGACTTGCACCGGGGCAATATAATGCTGCAATTCCTTGTTACAAACCTAGCTCCTTTTTCAGCTTAGCAAGAGTAGCTTCTATTTCATCGATGTTCTCCTCGATGCTGCTACTCTTGTTAGCTTCATTTTGAAAACCGCCTCCTGTTTTCTCAGGATTACTGAAGTCATTTCTGCTGTTTTCTTCAGCTTCATCATCAGATATGTTGAGCTCTTTCTCCAGAAATTCAACAAATTCCTCTCCGATCGCCTGCTAAGGGTTAATTCAACTAGTTAAGCAAAATTATTCTTTTGTTACGAACTAAGCTTGAATGAGTGTAAGTAAGCTTTTTACATACATCAGAACTGCTAGAAAGAGTAACATCATACCGCTAATTCCTCCCACAAGCTTTTCGGCTTTTCTTGTGATGCACTTGCTTCCCAATTCCGAAATTCTTCTTGAAGGTCTCTAAAGAAGTCCTCTGCAACACAAATCGAACTATGAGCTATATGGAGAAGTGAGTACTAGTAGCCATTTAGAGGGAGAAGATAAAACGGATGCTAGACAAGATTTAGAATTGCAATTCTCTCTTATCAGCCTCATAATCTCAACAGAGAGTACAAATCTACCTAGCGTAATTTGAACATCCCTCAAAAAATTACCTGCAGCATGAAGCGTTAAGTATAAGAATAACAAAAAGTAAGTCTCACTCCTAGAAATATAACGAAACATATAAATTGTAGGTATCCTTTCATCGGCGATTAGATGGTTTTTCCCATTCAGAGATGGTCATAAAAGAAAGTTTAAAAGAGTTCAAAGGATGCCATGTGCTCATTTAGAGTAAGCAATGCATGGCATGGACCACCAACATCATCAATCAAACAGCAAGAACATATAGAAACGAAATACTAACTCTTAAATGGTTAAGTGTGAACGTTGGACACACACGCTATAAGAATATGATCCTCCAGTGCTAAAAACAACTAATTAGCTTCAGGTAGGTGTAGAGGATGTTACCAAATCCATAGAATTCTTCATCTTGGGTGTTCGAGCTCTGGCTTCTTTGAGTTCCAGAGTACGAAAAATCAGATGTTCGGTTACCACCAGGACCAGGGTTGTATCTTCTCCTAGATTCAGAGTTCAGCAACGTATTATACGCATGCTTAATCCTCATAAATTTCTCTTGTGCATTTGCCTGTAAACCAGAATTACTCGATATACCAAAGCCATATACATAAAAACCAAAGCATTGAAGCTTAGAAAGGCAATCAAACTATGAAGGAAGAATGATAGAAATGCATAAAGTCATAAACAACAAACTTGGAACTATCATATGATAAACATTGCTTTCAATCACTTAAAAATCCCTAATTCTGAGATGCCCTATATCTTCTCAAAGGTCAAAGCTAAGGGTTTTCTAGTGCCTGGAGAGCAATTGATTTATTTGTGAAACCTGAAACACTGAAGTCTGAACTAGGAAGATAGTTGAACAATAGTTATGAGAAAAAAGGCCCGAGAAACATGATACTACGTGGTTTGGTTCCATTGTTTCAACCTCTATTAACCTTCCAATAATAAATACAGGGCAATGGGAATTTTAATGTCTATTTGACAGAATTACCTCTTTGTTGACATCAGGGTGATACTTCAAAGCAAGTTTCCTATAAGCCCTTTTGATTTCATCTGGAGTTGCAGAAGCAGAAACACCCAAAACTTCGTAAGGAGACTCTCTCCAGCTCGCTCTCAAAAGGGTACACGCATTTCTTCTCTTATAATACCTGAAAAGAAGTGGTGCAAACGGTCTTGGTGTAAAGCCAAAGCCAAAGCCAAAGCCACCGCCTTGGCAATATCTGAAACTGGGTATTGATAAATTTGCTTGCTTTTGAACGGTAAGGAATGATCTTGGAGAAAAGTAAGGGACACAGATAAGAGCATTCGGTGTTAAAGAACGATACAATGCATGCGTATTCATGGATTAACCCTCTTCTAAAGTGTATTTGATATTCATAAAATTCTGGTTTTTGGATGCAAAAGCTCTGTTCTCCTGCTCTGAAATTGGGTTGTAAGGGAAGTTGTGGTGGGATGTGGATGGCGTGGAACTGGACCATGGCTTCTGATGATAACTATATCAACGGTTCAAAAAGGCCGTCACTTTAGACAGTAACAAAAGGGAATGAAAATACTAAAACACCCTCGTTTTATTCATATTTTTTGTCCAGAATGGAAAGATAGGTCCTTACATACACAACGCCACTACTGCCGGCCATGGTTCTTGTACATTCAACAGCAAAGCGTCTTTTGTCCTAATCTTGGTCCATTAAAGATTGCTTCAAAGATTTATCCACAATGAATGCTTGAAAGAAATGGTATGTGAACCTCTGATCATGGAACTAGAATGGAAGAAAATGGTGAATTAGTGAAAAATTTCTTGGCCGTTGTCATTTGATTAATGTTTTAAAGTTTCATGTTGAAGGGTGCTTAGAATTCAGAAGACTCTGCCATGTTTAATTGCAATTTGCAAAGATCTCATGAGCTTGTAGGTAATAGCCGACCCAAGTTGCAGAAATGACGGTCAAATCGCAACACTCAAGTTCTTTATGGTTCATCGTCTGTTTGTCTATTACTCGTTACATTCCTCGGGTTGATTAGCCCTTTCAAACTTTCAATTCACCTTTGTTATCAACAATTCAAGTGTCGGTGGGAATTTTCATTCTTTTTAACATATTTGAATTAGATAATTGTCCTACCCCTGATCACTATACCAAATAAAAACCAATATAGATAGACGTGAGCAAGCTGGTGCAGCAAGAAACAAAGTGCATAAAGAAGTAAAAATGTCATTAAGCATACATCGAGGGAAAAACAGTGGCCTCGCCTAAACATCAAAGCTCTCCACAAACCAACATTTTGTACAGTCTCGGGGATCATATGAACTAACTCGCCATTTAAAATTTTTACACCCGTAATAACGCCTATAATATTTCGTCTCCTCTGCATGGGGGCACCAGTCGTATTCAACAACTGAAACCTCGGGTTTGCTCGATTCTTCGTATACATCTTAAGCTACAAAATGTACAGTTCTTCCAGTACAAGCAACAATTTTTTTATTTCCATACAGATCTTACCTGTCTAAAACGATAGGTAGAAGCATATCTCTAAAGATAGAGGAAGCTCTCGTAATAGTTTCTGTTAGCTGTACAAACACATTATTTCCTACACCAACTAAGCAGCAGGGTGGGGGAACTGAGCAGCAATTCTCCTTTCTGAAAATTAAGCAAAACTGTGTATTAGAAGGTTCCGACATACAGAATAAGGATCAAAAAGAAGAGAAAAAGTGAGTTCAACGTCGATAGCCATATGCATGCTTTAGATCAAATTCATATGGTTTCATCATCATAATGGTAAATTACAGATGTACTGAGAGAGCATATCTCCTACAATTACTATAATGTAATTGAACCAATGAAAATCTTGAATGAAATAAGGCACATGAAAATTTTGCTGAACCATACTTTCAAGTGATTGAATAATTCAAGGATTGTAGTTACAAGAGTTGTGGGTGGAATAATTCGACATTGGTGAATGCTCTAAGAAACTCATTTACACCATGCATGAACAGATATAAAAAAAAACTAATAAGCAGTAACAGAAGACAAAGAAGAAACGGTACCCCCAGCAGCAACAAGTTTCTCTACGCGTGCAACAATATGTTTCCCATAAGTGTACTTCTTCAATGCATTTAAATGGACCTTAATTCGAGAGAGGATCAGCTCACGTTGCTGGTCATCACAAGTCTCCAGTACTTTCTGTACAACGTAGTTTGCAAATTGATCTTTCATCATTGCCTGTAACCAGACAAATGGGTGTCAATAAAAATGACATGGAATTATAGAGAGTAGCGGAAAAACTATTTCTTGAAAACAATGCAATCAATTTTCAGACAGACTATTCTAGTCGGAGTCTTCACATCATATTGCATCCTGAGAAAACAGTAATAAGCAAATTATAAGAGCTCCCATAAACATTCGCAGCATTCCCGACTGTACATGAAAATCCAATTGCTCAGCATACACACCCAGCTTACAAACATGAATGAACTAACGGATAATTCTCACCAACAAGGAAGACCACCATATTCAGCCAAAACAAAGCTCATGATTCATGGATTTTCTCCAATGATCTATAAACCAGGTGTAGTTATTTTGGACATTTATTTTCCAATGTTGAGAACTTAAAAATATTTTCCATTGTTGAGAACTTAAAAATCAGAAAAGTATAGCAATTCACAGGTGATATATCAGCACAAAACGAACAAACCTGAAGAGGCTCATTCTCATCAGTAGAACCAAGCATTTCATTCACCAATAGCTGACGTTCAGAAGGACCACCAAAAGTTAAGCACTTCTCAACAACATTAGAGGCAAACTTCTGCTGACTCATCTGGACAATCTTTCCAGCAAGCTCCTGGATTATAATTGAGCGCTCATGAGGTTTTCCGTGCTCCAGTACATGCTGTGGTGTTATTTGAATGAAAAGGTCAGTCCATGCACCACCAAACCTATAACGCGCAAAATATAAGTTCCCAGAAAAGAACCAAAACCTGAACCACATAATTCCCGTACTGGTCTTGGGCCAACATGCTAACAGATCCTAAAATCTCATCCATAACCTTATTCTGCGTTTTTGGGTCCTTGCAGTGCTCCAGTATTCTCTGCAGTTTTAAAGAAAAAGAAATTAGTACAGAACACGCATTGATCATTCTTAGCATAGGAAGTTCTAAGGGGCAAAAAGAGGTTCCGAACCTGTATCACTCGGCACCCATATGGATGAGCAGAAAAGGTCACAACTTGATCAAAAAACGTTGTAACTATAAATTGAATGTTCTCCTCAGGAACACATTCGATAAATTTTTGGATGACATGGTTGCCATTTTGATCACGTACACAACGCATCACACTACCATCAAGCTCTTGAACCATTTTAATCTTCTGATCCAGATCAACAACTTCTATGGCCTTGAATGTTAAACAAATCATACATAATTGTCGAAATGCAAAGCAGTATTCTTGGTGTAAGCATTTAGAATCATATCAATTAGCATGAGCACTTCTATGAAATCCATACAAAAGCAAGATAAGCAGATGACGAAGTTAAGTTTTATTGTTAAAACATATACATGGCCCATAATTACAAAGTAAACATAAATAAAGATCTAAATCAATTCTGCATGAAAAGGAAAGTAAAACTCTATCAGACTAGGACACATTTCCACATGTCAAATATAAAAAAGTGGTGGAATCATTTAGAGAGGAACTCATAAATTGTCAAGAAACTGCAATTATGAGGAGATTGGTAAATGAAAAGAATCAACAGAAGCTGTTCAATAAGTAACCAGATGATTATGCGCAAACCAAATTGAAAAAATGCATGAAATGAAATCAAGAAAAATAACAACCATATAATACCTTCTGGGAAAAAAATGAATGAAATGAAATCAAGAAAAATAACAACCATATAATACCTTCTGGATCACCCGACACCCATACATTTGAAGACCAAGTGTTAAAACATGACCAAATAGCTTGCCAGCAAGTTCTCTTCTCTGGCTTGGAAGTCCATGCTCAAAAAACTGTACGAATTTAAGGTCGCATTGGGTAAAGACAAAAAAAACATAAAATTTTGTAATATTAAGCAGATAAGAAACAGATCAAGAGGCTGATATGATACCTTTTGAATGACATAATTACCGAACACGTCAGTCATCAAAGCAAGAGCTTGCGGCATGATTTCCTCATAAACCATAGTTTTCTCTTCAGTTGTGGCTGTTTCAAGTTTTTGTTGAATAAAGCGGCTGCCATATTGATCCGCGCTGCTCATTAAAAGCATTTAAATGTCAGGAAGACAGTATAACAACATAAAACATGATATAATCTACAAGCATACCTGAACTCAACAACATGACCGGCAAGCTCTGAAAGTTCAAAACACTTAATTTTATTGCTCTTGAACTCTTCAAGTAGGGAGGAGGCAAAGCTTTCATCAACATTACATCCTGAATCCAAATGCCAGGGTCCCATGACACCCCCAGCTAGGTTCCTCATCCCAGAAGGAAAACGCATATTCAGATCAGTGTGTCTAATAGGACTACCAGGTCCAACAGTGGAATTGGGAATAACAGCACTTGCTAATGGGCTTCCAGGATAAGACATGACAGCTCCAAAGGTCGTATTTCCATAAAAACCATTGAGATTAGAACTACCAGGTTTAGCACTCAATGGAACACCATACTGGGATTTCTGGGGTGATAGTAGAGCTCCAAGATAAGCTTTTTGAAGTTCAAGCAAGTTCATGTATGAATTACCAAGGAAATTCCTATCCATGGTGGGGTCACTAAGAGCTGCCTGCTGTGCTGCAGCAAATTCAGATGTCCTTAGATACTGAAGATGAAAAGGATCAATAAAAGTTGCATTCAGAGCATTCCTGGCTATTGGGCTTCCAACTCTACCAAGATTATGGGACTCGGATGCAGCATTTGAAATGTTTTGTCCAGAACCGAAAGCTCCCCCAAGCACTCTGGAGTCCATTCCAGGGCCAGCCATAGCAGATGCAGCAGCAACATTTTCATACAATGGTGGCAGATTGCTGGCCACAAGTTGGCTAGGCATCATACTGGCCAAAGCAGGATAACCACTTAACCCATAATTTGAAAATGATGCATTTGCACCATCAATGTGCTGATACTGAGAAGGTAAGCTGCTATTTCCATTGAGAGAAGATGTAGGTGATCCTTTCAAGTAAGAATTGTTTGATGGAACAGCAGATTTCTGGAGTACAGATCTGCTCCCATTACTCTTAGATGAAGGCATATGTAAATGATCAGATGCTGATTTCTTCAAGTATGCCTGCTGTTTGATTTGATTCTGACCATCTTGCAAACCAAATAGATAATTCTGGTGATTTCCAACATCTTGTTCAATCTGTGAAGCTAACTGATTATCTTCATCTATGACACCATTTGATGACAGGTTCATGCCTGATAAAGCAGCCACGAGATCATCAGACCCATTGACAACAGATGAGCCACCACCAAATGTGCTTGGACTATTCATGTTTCTTTTCTCAGAGTTGCCAACTCTGCCTCCACCAATTGG